TCCCTAACTACCCGCCTCCAACTACACACATCGTGAACTCATACCACACCACATGTTACACCTGTGTACGCAGCTGGTGGGTGGCGGGCGGGGCTTGGACAGGGTGATGGTCACAGGTCCTGGGGCCCTGCCTCCTCCCCCAAGGCCCAGCCCAGGCTCATGACTCTTGCGGGGCATGCTGGATCCTCCAGGTCCACTTAAGAGGCTGGGGGCGCCCTCGCCCCACGGCCTGGGTTGGGTTACTGCAGGGGGTTAAGGTGACAGGCCTCCTGGGCCCAGTGGGAGGGGCGCAGCACAGGGGTGAAGTCGGGGAGGGGGCTTGGTGCAGTGCCGTGGAAGCCCCAACTGTTGCCTGTGCCAGCAGGGGAGTGCAGGCACTGCCGGCTGAGGCCACGAACCAGGCATCTGGTGGCAGGGTCGCGTGCCACAGCGCCCAGGTGACCACGGCTGGTTGCCTCTGCCCAGTGCTATCCACACGCAAACCCACACATGGGTCTGCAGGCACAGAAGCCTGTACATCAATCTACACGTGCACGTGCACATACAGACACGTACCACAGAGATCCATGTAGAGGTGGGTACACAGACATGCGTGTATGTACAAAGACCCATGCAAAGGCAGGTACACAGACATGGTGTATGCACACACAGAGATCCACGCAGAGGCAGGTACACAGACATGTGTGTATATACACAGAGACCCATGCAGTGGTAGGTACACGGATATGCGTGTATATACACAGAGACCCATGCAGAGGCGGGTACACGAACATGCATATATATAGAGACCCACGCAGAGGCAGGTACGCGGACATGGTGTATGTACACAGAGTCCCATGCAGAGGCAGGTCACAGACATGGTGTATGCACACACAGAGACCCACGCAGAGGCTGGTACACGGACATGCATGTATATACACAGAGGTGTGTACATGGACATGTGTGCACACACAGAGTCCCACACGGGCGGGTACACAGGCACACATGGACCCGATGCAGAAGCACAGGCCCCTGCACAGCGCACGGGAGCAGCTGTCCTCCCGCGGAGCCCACCCATCTGACGGGGCCCCCCAGCCCTCACAGGCAGTTACGAAGCTCTGCCGTGTGCAGGGCCCAGCTGGGGTTGAGAGAGAGACTGGCCACCCCTATGTGTCACTCCAGGAAGGGCACCCTCTCCTGCCACCCATGTGGTGAGGCCTGTTGGGATCTAGACCCCGTCGTGCAGGGCCAGTGTGCAGCTCTGGGCGGGCACCTGGGGTCAGGGCAGCGGGGCAATGCCAGCTGTGCGGCACCCGGCCACTGTGCTTCCAGAAGACAGGGTCCGTGTTCTTCGGGCAAGACGTGAGGATTAAGGGCTAAGGGATGGAATGCCCGAGCGCGGCTCCCTGCTGGTCCCCACATGAGCAAAGGAGAGGACAATGAGGAAAGCGTGTGGATGGGGATGAGCCCTTCCAGAAGTGCTTGGTCCCCAGCACTGCAGGGGCACCCACGCCCCAGCCCTGTCCGTGGTGGGGGGACGGGCACAGGGGCTTGGCCGCTTTCCCCTGCAGGGGCTTGAGCTCAAGCACGAAGCAGAGTCTGTGAACCCTGGCGGGACCACATGGCCCGCAGGCAGGTCAGGAGCCAGACACTCCAGGAGGCCAAAGAAATAGGCCCCGGGGCCTGAGTGATGGTAGAGGGGTTGGCATTTGCACTGCATGTGGCCAACCTGGGCTCGATTCCCATATGGTTCCTCTGAGCATCTGGGCCCAGGAGGGGAGGAAGGAGGGGAGGTAGGAGGAGGGGGAGAGAGAGAGACACAGAGACAAAGAGAGAGAGAGAGAGGCAGAGAGAGAGACACACAGAGACAGAGAGATAGAGACAGAGAGGGAGAGGGGGAGAGAGAGAAACAGAGAGACAGAGCGAGAGGAAGGGAGAGAGGGAGAGTGAGAGAGAAAGAGAGGAGGGAGAGCCAAGGTTGGAGCAAAAAGACCCAAGCAGCAGGCCACGTAATAGTTCAGCGGGGAGGGCATTTGCCTTGCAAACGGCTGACCCAGGTATGATCCCCAGCACCCCATATATGGTCCCTGAGCACAGCAGAAATGATTCCTGAGTGCAGCCAGATGTGGCCCCAAACCCAAGGCCACAACATTGAGCCTGAGGCTCTCTCTGGCACAGCTCGGAGAAACAGCAAGGCTGGCCGAGGTGCCGCTCTGCACCCACCCCTGGCCCTGATTCCACAAACCCGAGCACCCTTCAGGGTGCAGGTCGGGAGCCCGCCCTCCCCAGGGGCACCCATGGGTCACTCAGCTGCATGGAATCCCTCCTTCTCACTCACTTCCACAGCATGGGCAGCACTGAGCTGACTGCCACACAGAGTGGCCGCTGGCACCCAGCAAGCGGGGCCCAGGCTGCACCTGCCTGTGCCCTCGGCCCCTGCCCCATGCATGTCCTGGCCTCCCTGCAGGGCTACCCACTGCCCCACCCGGATCCCTTCCCAAGGGCGGGAACGAGGCGGTGGTGGCAGGCACCACCTGGTGGCAGTTTAGGGAAAGACAGCGGACCACACGTGCACCCCATTGCATCCTGACTTCAGGGCCCCAGGTCATTAAGCAGGAGCAGCAGAGAAGGCGAGGGGCTAAGGCTGCTGACAGCTGCGGCGCGAGGGTGGGGCAAGGTAGAGCACACAAGGCACCTCCAGCCTCCACCCAGTGCCCTGGACATCGATCTCTGAGGGTGTCGCCCGCCTCGGGGCCACACCTTGGCGCTACAGCAGCAGTCAGACCGCTGTCCCCTCTCTGCTGGCCTCTCCACCTGCAGGGGCGCATCCGCACAGCTGCTGAGGGGGCCGGGGCTCTGTGCAGGGGAGGGGCGGGCAGCGTGGGGGGGGCCCTAACCCTCCTGGCCCCCAACACAGGTGGAGGAATTCGCAAAGGTGGCCCCCAGGGAGGAGGCGTGTCTGGGGAGTCCTGAGAGGATGGGGTGGGCAGCAGTCCCGCGCATGCTCCGGGCTTGCCTGACCTGAGGCGCCAGGCACCGGGCAGCTCTGGGCACCTCTGCCCTTATCAGGTCAGCCCTGCACTGGCCCAGCCTCCAGATACCTCTTACGCAAGTCCAGAGCTGACCTTGCTGTGGACGCCCATTAACCACACCTGCGCCTGCCTCACCTTGGGTAGGGTAGGGGCTGGGAGGAGGGGCAACGGGCACAGGAGCCCCCAGTGCCAACTCCCGGGGCTGCTTGGTCAGCTGGGTGGGTAAGGTGAGAGTGGAGGACAGTGCTCCCAGAAGCCGAACCGTAGGGCCTCCCTCCACCTCCGCTCCCCAGGCAGAGATGCGGACACACGCCCCACCTCTGGGCAACCCCTAGCTGAGATGCAGGCGCACCCCCCACCTTTGGGGAACTCTGAGCTGAGACTCCCTCTGTCCCCAAGCTGAGATGCGGGCGTTCCCCCACCTCCCGCGGGGTACCCCAGATTGAGATGCGGGCACGCCCCCACCTCCCAGGGTACCAACCCCCGGCTGAGATGCGGGCACGCCCCCACCTCCCGGGGTACGCCAGGCTGAGATGTGGGGTGTCCCCCACCTCCTGGGGTACCCCAGGCTGAGATGCAGACACGCCCCCCACCTCCCGGGGTACCCCAGGCTGAGTTGCGCGCGCGCCCCCTTCCTGCCAGGCCCCCGGTCCCCAGCCCCGGGCGGGTCTGCAGCGCTCCCTCCCCCAGCCCAGGCTCCGGGGACGGGGTGGGCGCGGCCCCACGGGGTGACCTTGGGCGAGGCTGCACCGCGCGGCCCAGAGCCGAGTCCCCCCACGTTCTGCGTCCGGCGGGAGGGGCGCCGCTCCGGGCACGGTGGGCTCCCGCCCCTGCTCCCGAGACCGGGGGGCGCGGCCCGGAGGGGGTGGGGACGGTCCGCCCGCCCGCCCGCCGCCCCTTTGTCCCGCCGCCCAATCGGCGGCCGCCGTGACTAAATAAGGCCGGAGCGCGCCCCCCCCCCCCCCCCCCCCCCGGCCGCGGTGACTCAGGCCCGCGCGGCGACATCGCCAAATAAGGTCGCACACCTGCGGCCGCACCTTGACCCCCGCCCGGTGACACAGCGCGGGAGGGGCGCGCCCGCCCGGCGGCCCCGACCCCGGCCCCCCGCGCCCCGGCCACCCCGCGCCCCCCGCCCGGCCCGGCCCCCGCTCCTCGCCCAAACAAAGGCCTACAGCGCGGCGGCGACCCCCGCGCCGTCCCCAGGGCCCCGCTGCTGGGGACAGTCCCGCGCGGGACACCGTCGGCCACGCGCGCACGACCCCGAGGGTCGGCTGAGTCCGCGGCGGGGTGGCCGCGGCCCGGCCTCGGCGGGGCCCTGCCCGGTGTCCGCGCGGGTAGCCGCCCCCGGCGCGTGCCCCTGTCCGGGTGGGGTCGCGGAGCCCCCTCCCCGGCCCGGCCCGGGCGCGTCCCCCTAGACCCGGCGACCGGGGCGGCAGGTGCGCGCGGACCCCGCCCGGCCCCGGGCTCGGCCGGGCCTGCGGGACCCCCAGGGATGCGCGGCGGCCCGCGGCCCTGCCTCAGTTTCCCCAGTGCCGGGCTTCCGGATGGCGGCGCGGCCCGCCCGGCGGCCGGTTTCGGGGCGCAGCCCGGCAGGGGCGCGGCCGGCACGGGGCCGCGGCGCGCGGGGGCGGTGCGGGCGGGACCGTTGGGGGCGGCGCGGGCTGGGGGCGCGGCGGCGCGCGCGACCCCACGTGCCCCCGGCGGGCGGGCCAATGGGCGCCCGGCGTTCGGGAAAATCGCCATATATGGGCATGTTCTGGGGCCGCGCGCGCCGCCGCGCCCCGCGCGCCCCCGCGCCGGCTTAAATAGCGGCGGGGGAGGCCGCGCTCGGTCTCAGTCGCCGCCGCCACCCGCGCTTGCCTCCGTCGCCGCTCCGTCCGTCCGTTCCGCGCCCCGCGCCGCCGCCGCCGGTAAGGCCGGGAACAAAGGGCCGGGGGCGGGGGCGGGCGGGCGGGGGCGGCGGGCCCGACGCTGAGCCGCTCTTTGCAGATCGCCATGGAGGAGGAAATCGCCGCGCTCGTCATCGACAACGGCTCGGGCATGTGCAAGGCGGGCTTCGCGGGCGACGACGCGCCCCGCGCCGTGTTCCCGTCCATCGTGGGCCGCCCGCGCCACCAGGGCGTGATGGTGGGCATGGGCCAGAAGGACTCGTACGTGGGCGACGAGGCGCAGAGCAAGCGCGGCATCCTGACGCTCAAGTACCCCATCGAGCACGGCATCGTCACCAACTGGGACGACATGGAGAAGATCTGGCACCACACCTTCTACAACGAGCTGCGCGTGGCGCCCGAGGAGCACCCGGTGCTGCTGACGGAGGCGCCGCTGAACCCCAAGGCCAACCGCGAGAAGATGACCCAGGTAGGCCGCGCCCGCCCGCCCCGCCCGCGCGCGCCCCGCGCCGGGCCGCCGCTCACGCGCCTCTCTACCTTCCAGGGCTCGGGTCCGCGCGGCATTTCCTCCCGGAGCCTCAGGTTCTCTGGCGTGTGTGCTTGCGTGCTTTCCTCTCCTCACTCACACGGGGCATGCGGCATGCGTGGGGAGGGGGGCCGCGCCCGCGCGCGCTGACCGCCCTGTTCCCGCAGATCATGTTCGAGACCTTCAACACGCCCGCCATGTACGTGGCCATCCAGGCTGTGCTGTCCCTGTACGCCTCGGGCCGCACCACGGGCATCGTGATGGACTCCGGCGACGGGGTCACCCACACGGTGCCCATCTATGAGGGCTACGCGCTGCCCCACGCCATCCTGCGTCTGGACCTGGCCGGCCGGGACCTGACCGACTACCTCATGAAGATCCTCACGGAGCGCGGCTACAGCTTCACCACCACCGCCGAGCGGGAGATCGTGCGCGACATCAAGGAGAAGCTGTGCTACGTGGCGCTGGACTTCGAGCAGGAGATGGCCACGGCGGCCTCCTCATCCTCTCTGGAGAAGAGCTACGAGCTGCCCGACGGCCAGGTGATCACCATTGGCAATGAGCGTTTCCGCTGCCCGGAGGCGCTCTTCCAGCCCTCCTTCCTCGGTAGGTGCCCGCCCTGGGGGCCGCTGCGGGAGGCTGCACTGAGGGCGAGCGGAGGTAACAGGGGCGTGGCCTTACAGGCATGGAGTCTTGCGGCATCCACGAGACCACCTTCAACTCCATCATGAAGTGTGACGTGGACATCCGGAAGGACCTGTACGCCAACACGGTGCTCTCAGGGGGCACCACCATGTACCCGGGCATCGCCGACCGGATGCAGAAGGAGATCACAGCCCTGGCCCCCAGCACCATGAAGATCAAGGTGCGTCTGCGCCTTGGGCCGGGAGGGGGCCCACACGAGCTGGGGGGGTTGGGGTGGGGCAGCGGCACGCCCTGGGCTGAAACCTGCCTCCTTGTCTCTGCAGATCATCGCACCCCCTGAGCGCAAGTACTCGGTGTGGATCGGGGGCTCCATCCTGGCCTCGCTGTCCACCTTCCAGCAGATGTGGATCAGCAAGCAGGAGTATGACGAGTCGGGCCCCTCCATCGTCCACCGCAAATGCTTCTAAACGGACTGCAGAGGCTGCCCTGCAGGGAGGCGCCCGCCTGGCAGTGCCCTCCCGCAGCCCCCAAAACTGGAATCAGCCTGAGGGAAATCGTCCTTGAAGCTTACACTCTGAGCACTGGATCGTAGAGCTCGTTGCTGATTTTGACCTAGTATTCAAGTTAACTTCCTTTGGTATGTGTTTCAGCCCTGCACCTCGCCTGGGTTGGACCCCCAGCCCCTACGGCTGGCACCTAGGTGGTGGCGGCACGCGGATGCTCTGTCCACGGGCCGTGGGGCTCCTGAGCCGTGCGGGGTCTTGTCGTGGAACACCGCGACAGGGTCTGTCAAGAGACCGGTGCATGGGACCAATCCCTGTGGGCCTGGCGCCTCCCCAGCACCAGGCTCTTCACTTGCCTTGAGTTGGAACATGGTTGCATTCACACCTGTAAATTTATTCATTCTTTTAATTTATGTAAGGTTTTTTTTTGTACTCAATTCTTTAAGAGACAATTTTGGTTTTCTACTGTCATGTGAGAACATTAGGCCCAGCAACACGTCTTGTGAGGAAATAAAGAGCTGCGGTAACCGAGGAGCCCTGTGTGTGTGCTGGGGCCCTGGGGGGTGGGGGGGCGCAGCCTGCACTGGCTTGTGAGGTTCCCTTTAGGAGAGGGACCCTTGAATTCTCTATAGGGCACCCCAGGGTACAGTCGGCCCTGCAGTACCGTCGGGGAAGTAGAGCTGCCCCTATGAGGGCATGGCTGCAGGTGCCCCCTGGGGTGGCCTCAGAGCCCCAACGTGTAACTCTCTAGACCTAGGACAGATCTCCACGAGTGCTAAGAGAATGGTGCTACGGCCGGCCATATTTCAGTGGCTAAAGGGTTCCCCCCCACTCCAGGTGGGCTCTGGGAAGCCTTCTATATTCTTGGGTGCTGGAGGGTCCCAGGGAGTGGCCTCCCTCCCCAAGGGACCTTCCTTCGTCCTGTTGGGACCGCTCGGCCAGGGCCACAAGCAGCTAGGATGTTCTGGCAAGGAACTTCAGGTGCTGCTGCTTGCCAATGGACATAACTGCCAGTGACCACCACCCCCCCCCCCAAGCCCAGAGGGCAGCCTTGGCCACCACATAAGGGCCTTCAATGACAGGCACCTGTGGGCACTGCCTTGGCTCAGGTGCAGTTAGGGTGGGAGGGTGAGGGGTGAGGTTGTGCCCAGCACCCTGGGTCATCCCCTGAGACCACCCATCTCCCCTCCTCACATCTGACTTGGGAGGCTTGATGATGGGGTCACCTAGGGAAGGGGCTGTCACTGCTCTACGGATGGGTGACGCCCCTTCTTTGTATGGTTCCAGGCCCTGGCACAAGACAGCAGGGGGCTTGTCTCTAAGCCCCAGGCAAGGATACCCTGGGCCTCCCTCCAAGCCTGTTCCCCTTCCTCCCATGGAAGGTGCCTGTCCTTTCCATGCTGAGTGTCCTTTCCATGCTGACCTTGATGCCCAGGACTGCGGATGGACGCAGGGGAGGGCCAGGTGCAGCCACTTTGCTGGGCCCAGCTTCTTGGTGAGGTCCATGGGCTGAGCCGTGGCCCTGCCCTGTGGCTGTGGGGCAGCTGGGGTGACTGCAGGGATGGTGCCACAGCCCCCTGGGTGCCCTGGCACCGAGACCTGCAGTACTGGGCCTTGCGGCAGCAGATCCCATTTTCCATCCTCGGGCCTCTCCTGGCGTCTTCCCTCTGCAGCATCTGCTGCTGGGACGCCCCCTCTGAGGGTCAGTTCTGAAAGGATAAGGGCAGACGGTCCTTATCCTTTCCAGCACAGGCTAGTCCAGGTCTGCCGTCCATGTGGGCACCCCCCCAGCCCCTCAGCACGGTGCCCCAACACTGTTGGGGAGTGAGGCATGGCCTCAGGAGGGGCATATGCCCAGGCACAGCCCCTGGACCTCACTTCACAGACATCTGACCCCCACCATTCCCCAAATCCCGCTGCCCAGGGAGCCTTGGCACCCTGCGGGTCCCCATAAATGGCAGCAGAGCCCTCGGGGCAGGTGGTCGAGAGCACACTGTGAAGGTGCCTGGCCTGGTCCCCCTTGGCCTCACACCTGGTCCCTTGACCCACCAGCCTGCTTGGGTAACTGGCCATGAGGGGCCTCCTGAGGGCTGGGTGGAGGCCCCCAGAGAAAGCAGTTGTTTCCCCCAATTCTCCATGAGGCTGGGCCGGGTCATGCTCTCCGTGGGTCCCCACCTGACCCCTGTCATGCTCCCTCAGTGCAGGGGTGCAGCTACCCACCCCCCAGGAGCGGATCAGAAGGGGCAAGCCAGGTAGGGGCACAGCCTGGGTGCCCTCCTGCAGGCCGTCCTTTGCTGCCAACACTCACCTGGAGGTGGCGTGGGAACCACATAGGAGCGTCCCAGCTCTCTTCAAGGACAGTCACATGCCTGTGCCTCTGTCCCCAGGAGCCAGCCTCCGGCCCGCCTCCATGCGCAGGATGGAACTGCACCGTCCTCGCCCTCTGCCCAGAGCCCCGGGCTCCTGCACCGCTAGGGCTGTCCCGTGGCCAGCCTGGGCTCGCTCACCCCCGAGTGCTATCAGGAGTGAGCACAGAGCCAGGAGTAATACCTGGCCACGGATGTGGCCCCAAAACCAAAACAAAAGAACCCTGTTTCACCGCCCCCCTCTACACCGAGGTTCTGTAGAGCACACTGGGCAGTGCTGGGGACGAGCCCAACCTCCCTCTGCCCCGTACCCGGCCCTGGAGCCTGATGGATTTATTTGACTGCCTGCCAGCAGCACCTTGGCCAGTGGCTTGCTGGCTCTGAGTCCCCTGTCCTGGGCAGGCAGGAGGTGCCCTGTTCCCCCCTCTATACCCTGACCTGTGACCTCCTGTCCTAAGTGGCCAGACCCCTCTGCCTTCTTGCACCCCTGTGTCAGCACTCAGAAAGGTCACCCAGCCCTGAGAACAGACTGGGCGCTCGTCCGGCGGTGGCCTCCTCCCTGGATAAAGCGTGGCTTGAGCGCCCACCTGGAAAGGGGAGCAGCGGCTACTCTGGAGGACTTCCTGGCCAGTGTGCCCTGGGCTGCTGGAATACTGCGACCTCTGCACGACCTCTCTCCTGGGTTTGGCTTCCTGGTGCTGGAGGGCTGTGAGGTCCTGGGGCTCCAGCCCAGTCAGCCCCTGGGCCACACCCCAGCCTCCAGATTCCTCTCCAGGCCACTGAAGTGATTCCTTTTCTGGGTTGGGATGTTTTTGTTCTACTTCCGGGTCATACGCTGTGGTGCTCAGGGATCACTCCTGGCATTCCTCAGGGCCCATGTGGGATTCAGGGGGGAACTGGGCTCCTCTATGGTCAGTGCTCTCCCTGCAGCGCTGGGACCACCCTGGACTCAGCCAAGACTTTTTTTTTCAGATTTTTGGATCATGTCCAGTTGTGCCACTCCAGGCTGAGTTCAGGGGTGCATCAGGGGTGCTCAGGGACAGTACTGGGGTCTCCTGCATACAAGGCCAGCTCCTAACCGCTGGCATGCTCTCCGGCCTGTCCAAGTCTGGTGTAAGGGAACGAGATGGGTCCTTGGTGCAGGGGGTCAAGCCTGCTTGCTCCTTTTCTGTCAGGAGAGCTGCTTGCCTGAGCCTGAGCATGGCTCTGAGAAGCAGACACTGTGGGAGAGGCAGTGTGACAGAGCACTGCTGGAGAGCATTGTGGAGAGAGCAATATGAGAGAGCACTGTGATACTGTGGGAGAAAGCAGTCGGTTTCCCCTTCCTCATACTCTGGTGTCCATCTCCTGGGCAGGGAGAGAGAGGAGGGAGAGCAGGAATCAGGGTGGGATGGGTCCCCCAGACCCTGGCGAGGGTGGCTACAAAAGGTCCTGTGCATCCTGGTGGCTTATTGCACCGCCCTTTACAGGGGCCCGTGACTGGACACACGTGCATAGCATCACTGCCTGTGCCGTGGCACATCAGCATTGGGGGCGCCCGAGTGACCCACCCAGGGCTGTGGGCCTGCATGTGCCCCCATCAGGCCTAGCGGCCTGGACAAATGCGGGGCCTGAACCTGGGGGTGGAGCTGGCAGAGTGCTCCACTCTTGCAAAGGGGTGCCAGGGTGAGCAGTCGCGGGGCACCACGCCCACACCTGGAGGGTGGGGCCAACGCCAGCCCTTGGGATCCTCAATTCAGCCCTGGTAGAGCCATGGGGGGGGGGCAGTGTGGGCAGTGAGGGGCAGTTGGGGGTGGTACCCATGGCCGCTGAGACCCATCTGCAGTCCGGTGAGAAGGAAGGGGGCGGGGGCACTGTCCCCTGAGCACCAACCAAAAGTGACTCCTCCTGACTGCCCACCTGTCCCTTGGGTGACTGAGCCCATCTGCTGACCTCCCTGCGGGCGCCCTGGACCCTCCCAGCGGGAACTCAACCATGGCCGCCAATTCCGTAGCGCTGCAGCCACTGTCCTGGGACCAGGAGTCAGCTCGGTGCTCATCCAGTGGACCTGAAGGGGCTGGAGAGCACAGCAGCGAGCGCGCAGTAGCGAGAGCACAGGCCTGGTCCAATATAGAGCCACATGGTCCCTGGCACTGGCAGGCCCAAGCAGCACCCTTGTGCTGAAGGCCCAGTTGGCTGGGAACTGGGGTTTCCGGGTTGCCTGACGCCCTTTGGAAAGTGGCAGAGTGACGGCTAGGGGGACCGTGCAGGGCTTGAGCCTTGTGCCTTGCCTGTGACTGTGGTAGCCATACTGCTGAGTGCCCTGAGCACAGATGCAGGCAGAGTCCTTGAGCACTGCCCCAGAGACTTGAAAGTCAATACAGAAAAATCAAGAACCCAGTGCCTGGGCGGGGAACAGGGCCCTCTCCGCTGGATTCCCGCTCGCTGCTCCACATTTCAGGAGCTACCTCCTGCCCACTTGGGGCCCCAGCAGCAACCCCGCGGCACCCCAGTGTGGGGAGTGCCAGTAGGAACTGCCCAGAGGCGGGACACGCTAGGGAGCTGTCCAGGAAGCCTTATGTACCCCAGGGGTTTCCTGAGTGCTGGCCATGGGCACTGAGGCCTGAGTCAGAGGGGAGACCCTCAGAGCCACCCAGGGTCCCCCGCGTAGGGCCCAGGCTGCGGGTCGGGGTGGGGAAAAAGGGCCCTGCATGGCCAAAGAGTTCACTAGTGGCCACCCCACAAAGTTGTGTGGGCCTGCGGTCGGCTGAACCTGACTTTCGGGGTCAGCTCAGGGAGAAGGGAAGCTGCTTCCAGATTCACGGCTGGGGGAGGCCAGGAACACCTATCACCCTGCACCCCGACTGCAGGCCCTCAGTCTCAAAGATGCCTCCTGGGGCCAGGCAGGCACACAGATGCAGTGGGGGAGATGGATGCGGTGGGTACAGGTGGATGCAGTTGAGGTGGGCACAGCGGCAGAGGTTTAGAAGGGCAGGTGGGGCCAGTGTTCCCCTGCGAGACCCCAGGAACTGCAGGCGGGGAGAGCGAGGCGGGTACAGGATGGTAGTGCCTCTCTCCCTTACTTTCCGGTTTGGATCCGCACCCCGCGGTGCTCAGGAAGGACTCCTGGAGGCTCGGGGACCCTAGGCAGTACCAGGTGGAAAGGGGCCGCTGCTGTCCCGGTGCA